ATACATGGAGATCATATCCCCCCTTATGTATTATACATGGAGATCATATCCCCCCTTATGTTTACATGGAGATCATATCCCCCCTTATGTATTATACATGGAGATCATATCCCCCCCCCCCTTATGTATTATACATGGAGATCATATTATACCATATGTATTATACATGGAGATCATATCCCCCCCCATTATGTATTATACATGGAGATCATATCCCCCCTTATGTATTATACATGGAGATCATATCCCCCCTTATGTATTATACATGGAGATCATATCCCCCCCTTATGTATTATACATGGAGATCATATCCCCCCTTATGTATTATATACATGGAGATCATATCCCCCCTTATGTATTATACATGGAGATCATATCCCCCCTTATGTATTATACATGGAGATCATATCCCCCTTATGTATTATACATGGAGATCATATCCCCCTTATGTATTATACATGGTGATCATATCCCCCCTTATGTATTATACATGGAGATCATATCCCCCCCCTTATGTATTATACATGGAGATCATATCCCCCTTATGTATTATACATGGAGATCATATCCCCCCTTATGTATTATACATGGAGATCATATCCCCCCTTATGTATTATACATGGAGATCATATCCCCCCTTATGTATTATACATGGAGATCATATCCCCCTTATGTATTATACATGGAGATCATATCCCCCCTTATGTATTATACATGGAGATCATATCCCCCCCCCCCTTATGTATTATACATGGAGATCATATCCCCCCCCTTATGTATTATACATGGAGATCATATCCCCCCTTATGTATTATACATGGAGATCATATCCCCCCTTATGTATTATACATGGAGATCATATCCCCCCTTATGTATTATACATACATGGAGATCATATCCCCCCTTATGTATTATACATGGAGATATATCCCCCTTATGTATTATACATGGAGATCATATACCCCCCTTATGTATTATACATGGAGATCATATCCCCCTTATGTATTATACATGGATCATATCCCCCTTATGTATTATACATGGAGATCATATCCCCCCTTATGTATTATACATGGAGATCATATCCCCCCTTATGTATTATACATGGAGATCATATCCCCCCTTATGTATTATACATGGAGATCATATCCCCCTTTATGTATTATACATGGAGATCATATCCCCCCTTATGTATTATACATGGAGATCATATCCCCCTTATGTATTATACATGGAGATCATATCCCCCCTTATGTATTATACATGGAGATCATATCCCCCCTTATGTATTATACATGGAGATCATATCCCCCCCTTATGTATTATACATGGAGATCATATCCCCCCTTATGTATTATACATGGAGATCATATCCCCCTTATGTATTATACATGGAGATCATATCCCCCCTTATGTATTATACATGGAGATCATATCCCCCCTTATGTATTATACATGGAGCTCATATCCCCCCTTATGTATTATACATGGAGATCATATCCCCCCTTATGTATTATACATGGAGATCATATCCCCCCTTATGTATTATACATGGAGATCATATCCCCCCTTATGTATTATACATGGAGATCATATCCCCCCTTATGTATTATACATGGAGATCATATCCCCCCTTATGTATTATACATAGAGATCATATCCCCCTTATGTATTATACATGGTGATCATATCCCCCCTTATGTATTATACATGGTGATCATATCCCCCCTTATGTATTATACATTGACAGGGGCGGACTGACCATTTTGGAAACTCAGGCACTGCCCGAGGGCCCAGGGTCTGTATGGGGCCCCATGAGATGCCCCTGGTACCTTTTTCATAGGCTTTTTTGAGTTTGGGCAAGGACACAGGGGCCCCATGATCCCCTATTGCCCGGGGGCCCCATGAGTTGTCAGTCCGCCCCTGCTTTTGTGTGTGTTATTATTATTATTATTATTATTATTATTATACAGGATTTATATTATTATTCTTATTATACAGGATTTATATTATTATTATTATTATACAGGATTTATATTGTTATTATTATACAGGATTTATATTATTATTATTATTATAATACAGGATTTATATTATTATTATTATTATACAGGATTTATATTATTATTATTATTATACAGGATTTATAGTATTATTCTTCTTCTTATTATAATACAGGATTTATATTATTATTATACAGGATTTATATTATTGTTATTATTATTATTATTATTCAGCATTTATAGCGCCAACAGTTTGCTCAGCGCTTTACAATATACAATATGTATTGGTGTGGGGGAGGGGTCAGAAAAAGGGGTTAAAAAATTAGAAAAGTTTGCTTTTTTAACCACCAATTTTGGGATGTATTATAAAAAAAAAATATAGTTATGGAATGTTTCCTTTAGCAACCAATCTGAATAAGATGTCTTTTCTAGCATGCAGAAATAAAACGCTGTATTTTGTTACAATGGGCAACACTGTTTCTTTTAGCTCCGGCTTTTATAAATCATTAATTAGCTTCAGTTTGATCAGGAAAATTGCTTGTCCATTTCTTTGTCTCCTTTTGCATTTTTTTTTTTCTCTTCTTTCTGTAAATGAAGATCCTTCCAAGAAATGCCCTTGTCACTATCGCGGGTAGAGGGAAGGAGAGACGGGTTATGGTAAATTAGTTGTTTTACCGATTCACTAGCCATTTACAGTTATTAATTTGCATTGAAGCGCTTAGATATATATTTATTTACAGCTTACATATGTTAATGTTAACTGGGGCTCAGCCAGGCAAGGAAATCAATGGACGTTTCAGGTAAGGACAAATCGTTGCGAGGTCTATTGGAGCAGTAAAAGTCTATTGACTTAAGATCAGTATTGCTATTGACATGTGTGTGTTGTGTGAAGCCTGAATAACGACAAACCTTGGCTTCCTTTAATGCGATAATGTTGCTAATTTTTTTTTCAAGCTGATAGTCGATCTTGTTATTGACAAGCAGGCCAACTTACATCCTTATAAATATTCGGTATCAGCTTGTGGTCTGAAATGGATTGAATGAGCATCTGCGGCTGTAGACAAACTGATGAGCATCCTTGGGGGATAAATATCTTCAAATACTTTGTGTCGGCTTCAGGGTGTTACTTGATTATTTGAGTCCCATCTCATTATAATGTTCTACACAGAACATTAATGGCATTTTAGTGTGTCAGACACGGGGATGTCAATATTGGAAGATACTAGGAAATTCTCTTAATAGCTTGTCTGGCAGATGTTATCACCACTTTGATTTGTTTCTCCCTTTTAGCTCTTTTTTTTTTTTTTTTTTTTCTTCCTATGAAATGAATAACAAACTGTTTTGAAAATGTAGTTCAGCAACTTTTTAATGTTTGCTGTTACTTTGAGAAAAGCATCCCATAACTCTTTAATGCTCAGATATCAAATGAAGTTTAGATGCCAAATTAGAAGCCTCTGTACGCACCAGTAAACTCGACTATAATGCTGGGATTAAATTGCCAACTTCAGTAAATTAAATGTATTTGTAGGATGTAAAAAATTTCATCGGAACATCGTTTTAATAAAAGATTTGCTTTGGCGAGGAGGCTGAAAAGCGGACAAAGAAAGTGGGCAAAGTGAGTTGCCGAAGTCTGTAGCTTGTAGTGTTTAATACTGTACTTGTCTGATACAACTGTAGTATTAAAAAAGTACATTAACAGACGAAGTAAAAAAAAGTGTGTATATAATATCTATCTATATAATTATTATTATTATACAGGATTGATATTATTATTATTATACAGGATTTATATTATTATTACACAGGATTTATGGCGCCGACAGTTTGCTCAGCGCTTTACAATATAACGGGAGACAATACAGCAACAATACAGTTCAATACAAGAGGGATAGGAGGGCCCTGATCCTGGGAGCTTACAATCTAAGAATATATATATATATATATATATATATATATATATACATATATATATATATATATATATATATATATATACATACACAGGGGCGGACTGACAACTCATGGGGCCCCCGGGCAATAGAAAATCATGGGGCCCCTGTGTCCTCGCCCACACTGAAACCACACCCAAAAAAGCCTATGAAAGGTACCAGGGGCATCTCATTGGGCCCCCTATAGACCCTGGGCCCTCGGGCGGTGCCCGAGAGCCTAAATGGTCAGTCCGCCCCTGTGTGTATATATATATATATATATATATATATATATATATATATATATATATATATATATATATATATATATATATATATACTAGATTGTAAGCTCCCAGGATCAGGCCCTCCTATCCCTCTTGAACTGTATTGTTGCTGTATTGTCTCCCGCTATATTGTACAGTGCTGAGCAAACTGTTGGCGCCATAAATCCTGTATAATAATAATTATATACACACACTATATATGCACAGTGTGTGTATATATATATATGCAGTGGTGTAATTAGGTTTTGTGTTGCAGGGGCAGGTGGCTGTTTATAAACAGCCTCCCTGCCCCCTGCTTGTGCGTGCTCCCTGGGAGCGCGCAGCACCGCAATCCGGTGCCCGCTGTGTCCTCCGGACACAGTGGAATACCAATCGTGCGAGGTCCCGATCATGTGATCACTGATTGGCCAATCAGTGATCACTTCTGACATCATTGCTTACTAGGTGTGAAATCTGTGAAATGATCACAGAGGTCACATGGTACAGGGCTATTCACAACAGCCTTGTACCATGTGACAAGCTGTGACCAATCACAGCTCACACAGTATTTCTAACTGGCTGCAAGAATGCAGCCAGAGAGAAGGAGAAATGATAGCTTTTACAGCCTTTATGGGTGTAAAAGCAATCAGTGAAAAAAAAAAAAAAAAAAAATCTTCATCACCCCCCACAAGTAGTACAGTGTCACCATGACACTGTAACTGCTAGGGTGACAGTATGTAAAAAAAAAAAAAACATAAAAATAATAATAATAAAAAAAGAAAATAAAAATGTAAAAAAAAGTTTAAAAAAAATAAAAAATTCATATGTTTACAGTGTTGCATGACTGCGCAATTGTCATTCAAAGTGTGATAGCGCTGAAAGCTGAAAACTGGCCTGGACAGGAAGGGGGTGAAAGTGTCCGGACTGGAAGGAGGGGAAAGTGTCCGGACTGGAAGGGGGGGAAAGTGTCCGGACGGGAAGGGGGTGAAAGTGTCCGGACTGGAAGGGGGGTGAAAGTGTCTGGACTGGAAGGGGGTGAAAGTGTCCGGACTGGAAGGGGGTGAGAGTTTCCGGACTGGAAGGGGGGGAAAAAGTGTCCGGACTGGAAGGGGGGGAAAGTGTCCTGACTGGAAGGGGGTGAGAGTGTCCGGACTGGAAGGGGGTGAAAAAAAAACCGGACTGAAGGGGGGGAAAAGTGTCCGGACTGGAAGGGGCTGAAAGTGTCTGGACTGGAAGGAGGTGAAAGTGTCCGGACTGGAAGGGGGTGAAAGTGTCCGGACTGGAAGGGGGGGAAAGTGTCCGGACTGGAAGTGGTTAAAAAAAAAAAAAAACCCTCGCTGGACCCCACCTGTTTCAGTGACTTAAGACCCATCTCCCTGCTCCCGTTTGCCTCCAGGCTTCTCGAGCGCCTTGTTCACAACCGTATGAACTGCTACCTCACCGACAGCAACCTTTTCGCTACTCTGCAGTCTGACTTCTGCCCACAACATTCCACTGAAACTGCCCGACAAAACTCACTAATGACCTACTACTGGTCAACGGCCATTACTCCATACTCATACTTCTAGACCTTTCCGCCGGCACCCGGCAATCACCGAAGAACACTGACAGGGGAGAGGTCTGTATGTACACAATACAGATCTCTCCCCTGTCAGCTCCAGCATGCTGCTTTGTTTTGCTCTGCATAGCAGAGCCATACAAAGCAGAATGCTTACACAGTAAATCACACCCAGCACACAATTAACCCTTTGATCGCCCCAGATGTTAAAACCCCTTCCTGCCCAGTGCCTTTAGTACAGTGTCAGTGCTTTTTATTAGCACTGATCACTGTATTAGTTTCACTGAGGATGTCAGTGACACCAAGTCAGTTCCCTCCAGTGTCAGAATGCCCTCCGCAGTCCCGCTATAAGTTGCTGATCACTGCCATTACTAGTATAAAAAAAAAAAAAAAATTCCAATATATAGTATATACCGCCATTTGTAAACGCTATAACTTTCCTGTAAACCAATTAATTTACACGTATTTGGGATTGTTTTTATAGCAAAGACAGTTTGCGCAGCGCTTTTTATTTTTTATTTTTTTATTTTTATTATTATACAAGATTTATATAGCGCCAACAGTTTGCTCAGCGCTTTTTATTTTTTTATTTATTTTTTTATTTTTATTATTATTATACAGGATTTATATAGCGCTAACGGTTTGCTCAGCGCTTTGCAAAATGAAGGCAGACATTACAGTTACAATACAATTTGATACAAGAGGAAACAGAGGACCCGGCTCGTTAGAGCTTACAATCTGGGATTGTCGATGTTTTTTTTTTTTTTATAGTGAAAAAAAAACAAACAAAACCCACGCAAAGGGCGACCACCGAAAAAAAGCTTTTAGCAAAGACATGGCGCAGAATACATTTTGGCCTAAATTTTATGACGAAATTAATTTTTTAAAAATTTTTATATGAATATGTTTTATAGCAAAAAGTAAAATATATTGGGTATTTTTTTCAAAAATTGTCAGATTTTTTTTTTTATAGCGCAAAAAAAAAACAAACAAAACAGCAAAGGCGACCACCAAAATAAAGCTCCATTTGTGGGGGAAAAAAAGCACATAAATTTCATTTGGGTGCAGCGTTTGTATGACGGCGCAATTGTCCGGTAAAGTAACGCAGCGCCATTTTGCAAAAAAATGTCCTGGTCAGAAAAGGGGGGGGGGGGGTAAATCCTCTGGAGGGCGAGGGGTTAATACCGCTTTATACATTTCATTCATGGGGATTTCAGACTTCAGCATACTTGCATCCTGGCTGTCATTAGCAGTTCACAGGTTGTTAGTACTTGTTCAAAAAAATATGGATAGCGCCACAAAAAAATAAAACACTATAGTGAAAAAAAATATAAGCTGCACAACCTAACCTTAAAAAGTGCATATATCAGTGAAAAACAGGTTTGCGCTCATATTAAAACAACCCAAATATAAATATTATTATTATTATTATACAGTAATTTATATGGCGCCAAAGTAGTTCGCTCGGCGCTGTACATTATATCCACAATATATAATATATCATATTAATGTAATAAAAATAATAAATTAATAGTGTTCAAATAAATTGTGGAAAAAAATAAATTATATATATGTGCCAATATATATATTTTTTTCACAATTTATTTGAACACTATTAAATTTTTTTTATTACTAATATGATTATATATTGTGGATATATTTATATTTTTGGGTTAATCGCAACTCGGCGGCCATAAGCAGTCTTTTTTTGGATATTTCTTTAAAGAGCAACACCCAAGCAACAAGTACTAACAGTGAAAAAACAGGTTTGCGCTCATATTAACAACCCAAATATAAATATATCCACAATATATAATCATATTAGTAATAAAAATAATTAATAGTGTTCAAATAAATTGTGAAAAAAAAAAAATAATAATAATAAAAAAAAAAAAATATATATATATATATATATATATATATATACACACACACATATATATATGTGTGAAAATATGTATATATTTTATAAAAAATTTTATTTGAACACACTATTAATTATTTTTTATTACTAATATGATTATATATTGTGGATATATTTTATATTTGGGTTGTTAATATGAGCGCAAACCTGTTTTTTCACTGTTAGTACTTGTTGCTTGGGTGTTGCTCTTTAAAGAAAATATCCCAAAAAAGACTGCTTATGGCCGTCGAGTTGCGATTAACCTAAATATAAAAATATCCACAATATATAATCATATTAGTAATAAAAATAAATTAATAGTGTTCAAATAAATTGTGGGGAAAAAAAAAAAAAAAAATAAAATATATATATATATATATATGTATATATATATATAGATCTGTGCCAATATATATATATTTTTTTTTCACAATTTATTTGAACACTATTAATTATTTTTATTACTAATATGATTATATATTTGTGAATATATTTATATTTGGGTTAATCGCAACTCGGCGGCCATAAGCACTCTTTTTTTTGGATATTTCTTTAAAGAGCAACACCCAAGCAACAAGTACTAACAGTGAAAAAACAGGTTTGCGCTCATATTAACAACCCAAAATATAAATATATCCACAATATATAATCATATTAGTAATAAAAATAATTAATAGTTGTTCAAATAAATTGTGAAAAAAAAAAAAAATAATAATAATAAAAAAAAAAAAAATATATATATGTATGTATATATATATACACACACACACACACACATATATATATGTGTGAAAATATGTATATATTTTTTCAAAATTTATTTGAACACTATTAATTATTTTTATTACTAATATGATTATATATTGTGGATATATTTATATTTGGGTTAATCGCAACTCGGCGGCCATAAGCAGTCTTTTTTTGGATATTTCTTTAAAGAGCAACAGCCAAGCAACAAGTACTAACAGTGAAAAAAAACAGGTTTGCGCTCATGTTAACAACCCAAATATAAATATATCCACAATATATAATCATATTAGTAATAAAAATAATTAAAGTGTTCAAATAAATTGTGAAAAAAAAAAAAAAAATAATAATAAAAAAAAAAAAAAATAAAATATATATATATATACACACACACACACACACACACACACACACATATATTATATATATATATAATATGTGAAAATATGTATATATTTTTCAAAATTTATTTGAACACTATTAACTATTTTTATTACTAATATGATTATATATTGTGGATATATTTATATTTGGCTTGTTAATATGAGCGCAAACCTGTTTTTTTTTTCACTGTTAGTACTTGTTGCTTGGGGTGTTGCTCTTTAAAGAAATATCCAAAAAAAGACTGCTTATGGCGGCGAGTTGCGATTATCGTTTTTTTCCATTAGAGGGCGGTATTGGTCCTAAGAAAAGATTTTTTTTTTTTTTTGGTATGCTGATTTCTTTTGTCTGTTTTATCAATATACGTATAAAACTCAATGTTCAAATTAACTAGTTCAATAAGTAATTTAGCTCATTGATTTTTGGGCATATCCTAAGTGCCATTACAAGCTACGGATACTTTAAATGCCATTACCTAATAGGCGGAATGTTTTAAGCACCTTTTATTGATTTTATTACTGCTTTATTTTGCTGTCTTGGTTTAAAATCATTTTAACCACTTGGTAATCAAGAAGAAATATATTGTTGGTGAAATACAGTCAATTCCCCGAAAACCTTTGACATCGTTAAATAAGGTATTACTGTTGTTAAATCATGTCAGACGGTAACTCTAGAAGTGGAAGATTTAACATTTGGAGCACTGGATGAGCGCACCGTACCAGTAAACTCCATTCACCTTTGTCTCTTTATATGACAATCACTCTTCAGTTCTTTACTTACTTCGGACGTGCGTTTATATTTTTGGCGTGCCAGGAAGACTTGCGTGGAATTAAAACGATTGTGCCATTTGCAGGTTTATACTGGAAAACCCTCCTGCACCTTCGTTTCTTCATTTCTTTTTTCTTTATCGGTCTCCCTATGTCGGTGCTTTTTATTAGTACTGATCACTGTATTAGTGTCACCGGGGATGTCAGTGGCAGTTAGTAAGTGTCAGTTAGTGTCAGAATGCCTGCCACAGCAGTGGCGTCCCGAGGCAGGTGCGGGGGGGTGCGTCCCGCACCGGGTGACACCGACCATACGGGGTGACACCGTACCCGCTCCACAAAAAGGTAAATTCAGGGGCGGACTCACAACTCATGGGGCCCCCGGGCAATAGGGGATCATGGGGCCCCTGTGTCCTTGCCCAAAGTCAAAAAAGCCTATGAAAAAGGTAGCAGGGGCATCTCATGGGGCCCCCTACTGACCCCGGGCCCTCGGGCAGTGCCTGAGTTTCGCCCCTGGGTAAGTTGTAAAGCAAGCCGGCGATTACTTTTTGCTATAAAACATATCCATATAAAAATTTAAAAAAAATCAAATTTCGTCATAAATTTAGGCCAAAATGTATTCTGCTCCGTGTCTTTGCTAAAAAAAAAAAATCCCAATCCGTGTAAATTAATTGGTTTACATAAATGGAGGTATGTAATGTATACTGGATTTTTTTTTTATATATATATATATATATATATATATACTAGTAATGGCGGTGATCAGTGACTTTTAGCAGGACTGCGGTGCAGTCAGCCCTAGGGTTGGTGTCACCCAGTGTGGTAACACCCCCTCCAACGATCCCTGCAGAATGGATCGGATCTGTGGATTGAGCATAATGGATCTGACTCCGATCCATTGTGCTCAATCAGCAGATCCGATCCATCCTGCGGGGATCGTCAGCTTTCTTTACAACTTAC